GTGTGTGTAAATGTTCCAGGCTCTCAATGGTGTGTGTGTGTGTGTCTGTGTGTGTCTGTGTGTGTCTGTGGTTTTTTTAAGCTTTGTCTTAAATAGACCCGGAAAGTAGGGCACGGTGATCTGTGTGTGGTAACCCTCTGGAATGTTCTGCTCTAAGCTAATGGCCAGTATTACTTTTCTCCATGTTAAAAATGCATACAACTTATCTGGCAAAGAGATCCAGAGGGTAAGGCCCTTGCTCAGGGCTTTTTAACTTGGGATCATAGTGGACTCTGGGTATTCTGTGAATTCCCCTAAAATTATATTTTAAAAAATATATTGTTATTAAAAATGCTTGGACCACCGTCTCCTAGCTGATTTATCTTCTTTTTTCAACCTTCACATTACTTCCTCCAGATTTGTCTAACTTACCAAATGTCATTGACCAATTCCTCTTACATCCTTGTTCCCACTGCCAGTTGCTATGTGATCTACCTCTAAAATAGCCTTCACTCTTTAAGGTGACAACAGCACAACCAAAACTGTCATGGTCACAGCCATAGTTATCACAGACTCAAACTGGATAGTGAAAGATAACTCCACCAATGAAGATACTCCAAGAAAGCAGCTCAGAATAATCCCTATTCTTTAAGTACAGTTCTGTGTAAGCTGTAAGAGGAGCTGTGTTCCCAACTCCTATTCAGAGACCTGCCCCTATAATGGGAAAAATGTAATGCATTGTTAATGAAAAACAGTATTCTTGGAGCCCAATATGGTGGTATCTGCTTATAAACCAGCACCTGAGAGACTAAGGCAGGGGGATCTTGAGCTCAAGGCCAGCCTGAGTTACCAAATGAAAAACATAACTATTTCTTTATCCTGCTTCCATCCCTAGTCTGAATTGCATAACATTTTTTGGTTTTGCCAGTACTGGGATTTGAACTCAGATCCTTGCCCTTGCGTGGCTTACCTGGCTGATGCTCTACAACTTGAACCATGACTCTAGCCTGGGTTTTTGCTGGTAGAAATTGAGTCTCATGGACTTTTCTGCCTAGGCTGGCCTTGGACTGTGAATCTGCAGATCTTAGCCACCTGAGTAGCTAGGGTTTCAGGTATGAGCCTCTGGGTGTTTGGCTTGCATGCTGTTCTTGATTGCATGAGTCCAAAGGGCTCATAAACCTGGTATTTGGTTTACTATTGTAATTACAGTGCTTAGCACAGTTCTTGGCACCATCAATTCTCAGTAAGTACTTGCTGAGTAGATAAGTTAATCCTACACATATTTATCCTATCCCTATACAAATCTGTGTCCACAACTATTATTATTATTGGTTTTTGACTTCTCCCTGTCTTTCTGCAATTGACCGTGAGTTTTCTGATGGCAGGACCCACAACTTTATCTTGATGTCTCATTGAGACTAAGTGTCTGATCAAATGAAAAGGTTAGTGAAGCATTTGACCAAATGAATATACAAACAAACATAAATATATAAACAAACATGGGGAAGGGGAGTTTCCAGGTAGAAAATGAGAGTAGAGTCTCAGCTCTTCCTACACTGACCTGAAAATGGGTACAAGTGAGGATATTCCAGAAGTCAGGTTGCAAGGAGGCAAATTCAGCTCAACGCAAAGCAGGAAGGTTATGGAGGCAAGCCATAGGAGGGTGGGTTTCCCATGGTTGGAGGTGGCGAGGCAGAGCTGCAGAGTACAGAGCTGCTCAGTGTGCTTCTATCTAACGTCAGTGTTGCCTGTGAGATGCCTTTGAACCTCAAAGTGCTCTGGGTCTTTGACCCAGGTTGCAGGGCGTCTCCATGTGGAAGTGATGCGTGTCACAGGAGCTGTTCCAGAGCGTGTGGTGGAGGATGACTCCTCAGAGAACTCCAGTGAAAGTGGGAGCCTGGAGGTAGTAGACAGCAATGGAGAGATCATTCACCGAGTCAAAAAGCTGACATGCCGGGTAAGTGGAAGCAAAGACTTTTTACTGTTTCAGCGTTTTACCAAAGCATAAATGAGTTTCTCGTCCAGCATCATACATCTGCTGTCTGACAGCAGATAGAACTTTCTCTAGAAGGGTAAAAAAAAAAATGTATTTGCATGTTTAGTATAAGCACCATTTTATTTCCAAATATTTTCAGTCTCCTGGTGGCTAATAGAGTCAGAAGCATCTATGTATTTACAGGGAGCCTATATTTCAAGGTGAATTGTGTTTTTCAAATAAATGTTCCATCTATATCAGAAACTTAGTCATTCAGAAATTTCACAGGGGTGTGTGTATCTGTTTTATGGTTAGAGAAAGATGGTGCAGATTTCATTGTAGACAGGACACTTCACGAGGTGGCGTCAAATGGATGTCTGATTTAACCCATCACCTCTTCAATTTGAAATAACAGGAAGTAGAAAATAATGTGGAAACTAATATGGCCTTCACAGGAATTGTATTTCACTTTTTTTTTTTTGCCCCTCTTTTCAGGTAAAAATTAAAGAAGCAACTGGACTCCCCTTAAGCCTGTCCAATTTTGTCTTCTGTCAATATACGTTCTGGGACCAGTGTGAGTCTACGGTGGCTGCCCCGGTGGTGGACCCAGAGGTGCCATCCCTGCAGTCCAAGGATGCGCAGTATGCGGTGACCTTCTCTCACTGTAAGGTACATCACCCAATGTACTGCGGGGCCAGGTACAGCGCAATGAGACAGTAAGGCTTAGTGTGCCATAGAGCCAGGGTTCCACTCCATAGTAAGTAGCAAAGCAACAGCAGTGACTACAGAGAGAACTATATTGAGCTTTTGACTTCTTCCTGTTTTTCCACAATTGACCATGAGTTTTCTGATGGCAGGACCCACTACTTTATCTTTTTTTTTTTTTTTCCCAGTCCTGGGGCTTGAACTCAGAGACTGGGCACTGACCTGAGCTTCTTTCTGCTCAAGGTTAGCACTCTACCACTTGAGCTGCAGTGCCACTTCCGGCTTTTTCTACTTATGTGGTGCTGAGGAATCAAACCCAGGGCCTCATGCATGCAAGGCAAGCACTCTACCACTGAGCCACCTTCCCAGCCCCCACAATTTTATCTTGATGTCTCATTGAGACTAAGTATCTGATCAAATGAAAAGGGTAATGAAGCATTTGACCAAATGAATATATAAACAAACACGATAAATATATAAGCAAACATGGGGAATGGGAGTTTCCAGGTAGAAAATGATAGTTGAGTCTCAGCTATTCCCATGCTAACCTGAAAATGGACATAAATGAGGATATTTTCAGAAGTCAGGTTGCAAGGAGGCAAATTCAGCTCAACACAAAGCAGGAAGGTTACAGGGGCAAGCCATGGGAGGCTGGATTTCCTGTTGCATATGGAGTTGTGTACAGTTATGAAAATGAATTAGAACTTGCAAGTTTTTCCCATGAAGATTTTTGTTGAACATACTATCTTAACTGGACTGCGTAATCTCATGACAAATTCAAAAATTTTAGAACTACAGAAAATGAAACATCTCAACCTCTAGTCTTCCTCCTCAGAAACAGAAACATAAGTGAGTTTGCTCACACTTTCTCTCTTGTGTTTTGGGTGGTTTTTCTTGTTGTTGTTGTTTGTTTTGGGAGGGTCAGTTACGGAGTTTGAACTCAGGGCCTGGGCAGTGTTCCTGTGTTCTTTTGCTCAAGGCTAGTGCTCTACCACTCTAAGCTTGTGTGCACACATAACTTCAGATGGACGCTGTACCTCGTGAGCCATGCACCTAACTCCTACACAGAACTTCTTTTAAGTTTTTTACAAAAGTGGCTCATGTTATGCACATTGTAGCATTATGGGCCTGTGAACATGTAAGTTGCAGATATTTCCTGTTTTAAATGCAGCATAGCATTCTAAGCACAGCATACAGTACTATTCTTAAAGACAATATAAAATGGAACCTGTGGACTTTAGAGCGAACTCTGGCTGGATCGACTGTGAGAGCAAACTCTGGCTGGATGAACTGTGAGATATCACCAGCCTTCTTGGCTTTCAGTTGAGACTGTCAACAAGTCACTTCTTAAAGATCAACTCAAAGATCAGGATGCTCTAGGCTCTTTCTTGTGTAAATCATGCCTATTCTTTCTGGCTCTACACACAGAGCCATCTGTGTGTTTTAGAATGAGGAATTGGGGTGGGAAAGCTTCAGAGCAACAGCATAGATCATGAAGATAACTCACAGATAGTTTAGTTTTGGTACTAGTCTTCTATCCATGGCAAGTCCGTGCCAGCTAAGCAAGCCAGACTGCTACCAGGGAACTGAGAATGAGCCAAGAGTGAGAGAAGCAAGATCCAGCTCTGCAACTAAAGCAAGAAATTATACTTAAGACAAGTCGCATTCTCCAGTTTTCTCATTTATGACAGAAAGGGAGGTTGAAACCGAGCATGCTGGTGCATGCCTGTAATCCCAGCCCTTTGGAAGGCAGAAATAGGAAGAATATGAGTTCAAGGTCAGCATGGACTTCATAGCAAGACCCTATCACAAAATGAAATTAACTTGCCTTATAATTGTCCCTCCAGATCAGATGTTGTATGGTTTTCTGTATGGTTTCCTGTAAAATAGAAAAAATAAGTTTAAGGTTGAGATCAAGCTAATATCCCTGAAGTAAATCTGTCTGTAAGTAAAATTTGGAAGGGAAATTGCACAGACTCCTCCTGCATAATGCTTGCTGTGTTCTCCTCCCTACCCCTCCTCTCAGGATTACGTGGTGAACGTCACAGAAGAATTCCTGGAGTTTATTTCGGAGGGAGCACTGGCAATTGAAGTGTGGGGCCACCGGTGTGCAGGAAATGGAAGCTCTATCTGGGAAGTTGACTCTCTCCATGCAAAGACAAGAACGCTGCATGACAGGTAAGTACAGGTTGAGACTGGCACTTTAACAGTGATTAAGAATACAGGCTAAGCTGGATGCCAGTGGTTCATGCCTGTAATACTAGCTACTCAGAAAGCTAAGAGATCTGAGGATCACAGTTCAGAGCCAACCCAGGCAGGAAAGTCAATGAGACTCTTATCTCCGATAAATCACCAGAAATCTGGAAGTGGTACTGTGGCCCAAGTGGTAGAGTGCTAGCCTTTTGCTGAAGAGTGGAGCAACAGCGCCCAGGCCCAGAGTTCAAGCCCCATGACCAACAACAACAAGAAAAAGAATACAGGCTATGGGACACCCATGGCTCATGTCTATAATCATAGCTATTCAGGAGGCTGAGATCTGAGGATCATGGTTTGAAGCCAGCCTGGCAGGAAAGACTATGAGACTCTTACCTCTAGTTAACCACCAAAAAGCCAGAAGTAGAACTATGGCTCCAGTGGTAAAGTGTTCACCGTCAGCAAAAGTGCTCAGAGACAGTGCCCAGGCCCTAAGTTCAAGCCCCAAGATGATCACAGTCAATCAATCAATAGGATATAGGATATGGTCCCAAGATCCCAATCACTGCTAATGTTAGTTTGGACAAGTTACTTAGCTTCTCTGAACCTGTTCCCTCCTCTGCAAATGAGAATGACAGAAGGAATCAGTAGGCATCAAAGAAATATAATTTAATAAAGGTAAGCTGGAAAGAAAAGAAGATTAACACACACACACACACACACACGGACAATGTCAACCTTGATCTTACTGTATACCATACACAAAAATGGACTTGACATGAATTCCAACTTCGGATGTAAAAGTTAAAACTTGGCCTGCCAAGTATGATGCTCCGATTGTAATCCCAGATACTCAGAAGGCAGAGATCAGAAGGATCATGATCTGAGGCCTACCTAGTCAAAACGTTTGTGAGACCCAATGTAGGTGTGGTGGTACCTATGTGGGAGGTATAGGTAGGAAGATGGCTCTAGGAGACCAGTCTCATGCAAAACATTGGTACCTTATCCAAACAATAAATAAAGCAAAAAAGGGTTGGGAACATGGAACATCTTTTTAGCAAGAGTATGTCCCTAAGTAAAAATCCCAATACCACCGCAAACAAATGTGTAAAATGTGATGGAAGAAACAGTAGGGTTTTTGTTTTTTTGTAATTTGTTGACTTTGGGGGGTTGGGTTTTTTGGTTGTTGTTTATTTTTTTGTAGTCCTGGCTGATCTTAAACTTGAGCAATCCTCTAACCTCTGCTTTCCATGTGCTGGGATTACAGATGGGGAATTCTAGCCATCATCTAGGGAAGTATTTTTTGTTTTTTGTCAGTAGTGGGGCTTGTAGGGAAATATTTTTATGATTTAGACATGGTCACAGATTTGCAGAGAGGCCACAGAAAGCACTGACCATAGAGGAAAACATTCTTGTTAGACTTCAATACCATTCAAAGCTTAGCTTATTAAAAGGCATCATTATGAATACACATGGGCAAGCTACTGTCTGGAAGAAAGCTGGATCGTTTGTTGTGAAGTTCATCATTTGCCTCTTCATTGAGCCAACAATCCCACATGTAGGTATTTACCCAAGAGAAAGGAAACCTGAAGTACGTCCTTACAGTTGTACATGAATATTCATGGCAACTTTATAGTACCTCGAAATTAAACAACCAGGAGGCCTTCAGTGGACAAATGAACACATTGTCATATTACTCATACAGTGGAATATTTTGGCAGCATTAGTAAAGGACAGTTTACAGATTTGTGTGGATCTCAAAACCATTATGCCAAATAAGAGAAGCCAGTCACAAATTTATACTGCATAATTCCACTGATAGGAAAGCAGGTAGAGATAATCTATAAGAAATGCCAAGCTGCTACAGGAATGTGGGGACTGGAACAGTAGTAGACACTAGCAAACTTTTAAGTCTATACCCTAGGGATGTTTGAGAGTTAATGTGGGGGGCTGAGAAGGTGGCTCAGTGGTAAGAGTGCTTGTCTTGCATGCATGAGGCCCTGGGTTCGATTCCTCAGCACCACATAAGCAGAAAAAAAAAAAAAGCCAGAAGTGGTGCTATGGCTCAAGTGGTAGCATGCTAGCCTTGAGCTGAAGAGCTGAGGGACAGCACCCAGGCCCAGAGTTCAGGCCCACGACCGGACCCAGAAAGAAAAAAAAAAAAGAAAGAAAAGAGAGTTAATGTGTTTGTGTGATAAAGCTGACATGGGCCTAGAGCATAATAAATGCTCCATAAAGGATAGCTTGCCACTCCTTTAATCATGTCCCTGGGTGACCTACCTTTGCTGCTTGTGGGGATGTGTTTTTGCAGGTGGAATGAAGTCACTCGAAGAATAGAAATGTGGATTTCCATACTAGAGTTGAATGAGTTGGGGGAATACACTGCAGTGGAACTTCATCAAGCAAAAGATGTCAACACAGGCGGCATCTTTCAGCTTAGACAGGTACTATGATTGTTTTTCTCTTTGCCTATTATTGTTGTTGTTGTTATTGTTATTATTATTTTGCCAGTCCTGAGGTTTGAACTCAGGCCTGGTTACTGTCCAGGCCTGAATTGTTGGTGTTTTTTTTTTTTTGTGGCTCAAAGCTAGCATTCTAATATACTTAAGCCACAGTTCCACTCCCGGTTTTCTGATTGTTAATTGGAGATAAGAGTCAGAAACTTTCCTGCTTGGGCTGGCTTCAAACTGCGATCCTCAGATCTCAGCCTCTGAGTAGCTAAGACTATACGTGCGGGACACCAGAGCCTGGCCTAGAATTTTTCTAATTATTTGAGTTTCTGTTCCCTAATTCTTTACCCTTCCCTTCTTCCCTTCCCATATTCCTGACCTCCCATCCCACCTTGCAGGGTCACTCACGTCGAGTACAAGTCACAGTACAGCCTGTACAGCATTCAGGGACATTGCCACTCATGGTTGAAGCCATATTGTCAGTATCCATTGGCTGTGTAACTGCCAGGTCCACCAAACTCCAAAGAGGGCTGGACAGTTACCAGGTAAGATAGATTTAAAATAGTACTAACAAAGATTGGGAGCTGGCAGGTGGCTCAGTGGTAGAATTCTTGTTTTGTAGCCTTGAGGCCCTGGGTTCCATTCCTTACACTTGGAACAATAAGAAAGATGGGATGATGCAGAAGGGGGGAAATGAATGATCCATAATGGGACCTATTTAGGGAGATTAAAGAACTCCTTGTCCTGGCTCTTTTCTTCTCCCAGTTCACATTTACGTTCATTGCCTTTCTTTCTAGATTTAAAATATTATCTTTGCCTAGTTCTAATTAGTAGTAATCTTATTTATAAAGATACTGATGAAAGCTAGCAGGTTTTATTTTATAGCTAGCCCAAACTGTCGGATATTTGGTGTTGCTGCCTAGCCTCAGCTTACTTTTATTAATACCATACCTAATGATAACACCATAAACTAAATCATGATTTTTGCTGGCTAATTGAAAGAGTTCTTGTTTTCTTGTCTAAAATGATGACATAAATGTGGTAATTCTCAGAGGTTCTTTTCTGCAGTAAAACATTGTGGCTTAAGAAGTTTTTGCTGTTTGATGGAACAGTTTATATATCTTAAACAGTGACCTTTACAGAATGTGTTCCATCACTTGACTAAACATTCTTTTTTTTAGTGTACTCTTTTTTAAATTGTAATGAGCCACTTATTTGCAGGCTTTACTGCTTTTTTTTAACAAGCAGTCTGTCTTCATGATCACTTTCATCCATTAAATCTTCATCTCCTAAACCTTATCTTCATATTTAAAAAAATAAAAAGATGAAATCCCCTCAGAATTGACTTCCATGGGATTGGTGAGACCTCTTCTGGACTCCTTGAGGATAAACTCTAGTTATGAACTTCATCCCCACCCTTACCTGCCTAATGGGCGTCCTGAGCTTCACTAGATGTGAGTTCAGACAGGAAAGAATTGTGGTTTAATCCTGCACCCTTGCTGCTCTGCCCTGTGTGATAGGAGCACTCTCCCTGCTTTGCTTTGCCATGCCTGGCATTGTCTTGCCTTGCCTGCAGGGAGAAAACATTTCTCTTGTATTTCTCTCTGGAGTCCAGGCAGGACCTCAGCCAATCCTGAGAATGGTCCTCTCCCCCTGTTTTTCTTTGGGCTTCCTGGTGTTTGGGAAGACCTTTCCTCAAAGCTAAAACGTCAGTGCACAAACTCTTGAACTGTCAGGAAGGTGTAGCTTTGTCAGGCAAACCCTTCCTCTTCTAGGTTCAAATTCTCTCCAGCTCTCTGAACCCACACACTTCTTTCCAGGTATGAAGGCCACCCTAGCCAAGGTCTGGTTTGCATAGGACACTTTTCCACCAGACTTCTTGTGTGTTCACAGTCTGTGATTGGGGAATTGGGTTGTAAGGATTTTCATCCCAGTTCAGGCCTTCCCTGGCCTGCGGCTTCCCCGGTAGCCTCAGGATTTGGTAGGAAGAGCTGACATTAGACTTGGAGTGGGAGGCCTGCAGTCTTTATCAGGTTCATTTCTACCAAGTCATGATTTTTGCTGGGTATTTTAAACTTACGGTTGTTTTTTTTTTTCTTGTCCAAAATGATGAGATAAACTTAGTAACTCTCAGAGGTTCCTTTTTGTAGTAAAACATTGTGGCTTAAGAAGTTTTTGCTGTTTGATAAAGCAATTTATATATCTGAACCAGTGACCTTTACAGAACGTGTTCTGTCACTTAGCTGAAAGTTCTTTTTTCATGTACCTATTATTTGCATTCCTTCATCAGCCATACGTCCAGTTAAAATAAATTTTTGTCAAAGCATGGACTTTGAAATATTGATCTTTTTCCAGTGCTATATGCAATCTTAAGAGCAGAGTATCAGGGCTGGGGGGTTGCTCAGTGGTAGAACATGTGCCTAGTTAGCAAGTATGAGGACTCTGCCTTCGCTCCTTAGCTTTGTAAAACAAAAAATTGAGTCCCAGCCAATACCAGCCCCACAAGTGGAAACTGTGACAGTTTCCAAGGTTTTTAATCCATCCCCTTTGCTGCCATGCTTAAGGTAATGTCTACAAACTTTCCGATGTTGTTGACACTGTTCTTTAGAATTTCGCTAAAGCAATAGCCAAAACCAATACAAAATATTCTTGTTTCACAACAGTTCTGCATCACAGAAGCTTGGGCTAGTCTTTAGTTGGTGAAAGTACTTTCCTGATCTAGAAATTTGTGGTATAGTAGAGCTATTTCTTTAACTCCTAGGGAACCTTACTTTAAAGATAAATTAGTTCAGGATTATGTTTGTATTTAATAAATTAGTCACATAACTGATAGTAATAATTACCAGACTTTAAAAAAATCTTATTTCTAAAGAAAATTGTCTCAGTTAAAATTCTTGTCAGTATGTTACTTTTTTTTTTTTGCCAGAATTGTTACTTTATCATGAAATGTTGCTGTGTTTTTAGCATTTCTCAACTAAACTGTTATTTGGCCCCCAGGATAGAAAGGAGTTCTTTCTTTCTTTCTTTTTTATTGCAAGAGAGCTGTACAGGACTTGGGTGAGCTGATTTCATTCAGGTGTGGTGATTATAGGGTAATAACCCATAAGGTTGGCGACTAGGGGCCTTCTTTCCATCCTGGTTGTCCTCTAGTGTGTGAACCTTGATTAAATCACTGTATCCTGGAGGGCCTCTGTTGCTGCCTAGCCAAAGCCAAAGTTGGGCAAGAGAACCTCTGAAGTCCTTGTAGGCGTTGCTTTCTATGTTCTTAAGCCCATTCCCCATCTCACAGTCTACCTACAAATGATATTTATCTATAGCTTACCTATACATATTACCTAACTGTCTTACAACAGTGGCAGAAGTCCTAACTAAGGCTGTGGATTTCTTTCCCTATCTTAGTTTCAATATAACTGCTTTCCTTAAAACAGTTTGTTAGGGATGGAGTTGTATGTAGCTCAGTGTAGAAAGAATGCCTGGCATAGACAAGTTTCTGGGTTCCATTACCAGCACTGTTAACTTTACATGACAGAGTGAATAAATCCATTCAACCTTTGGAATTTTGTTGAAATGTTTCATTATGCCAATTTCATGTGACTTGCCCATTGTGATGTGTGTTAGAGAATTATTTCCCATGTGCTGTTGGAGAAACAAAATGCATGTCCTTTGTGTTTATTTTTTTCCTACCAGAGAAATGATGAGGATGGTGATGATATGGATAGTTATCAGGTATTGCTACTGCTGTCAATCCTGTGGCATGGGGCACAGCTATTGCTAATTGCCAGCATTTGCAAAAGCAGAGGCCAGGGAGGAGGAAAGTGGCTTAGAGAGCAAGAATGTGCAGTTTTGCCCGTGCTTTTGAATTGCTTCATATGTAATCAAATATACAATACTATGTCTGTTGTTTTTCCTCTTTATTTTCAGAATTTATAACCAGATACTGCATTTTTTCCTCTGCGATCTGAAATTATTAGCTTGTAAAGCCTTGCTAAGCAAGATCATTATCACTATATTAAAAGTACTGCTCCTAAAAAAAAATTACCTAGTTTTCCATCCAGAATCTTTAGATTCTTATCTTTCCTATGCTAAACTGTACTTTGCTTCTTATATCCAAGAAATTAGTATTGTTCTAAAACACCATTTAACTTTAAAACACTTACTGGGCAGGAAACTTAGAGGCATTTTATGCACATAGCTTTCTTTTGTTTAGCTAGTTTTCTCCTTTCATTAGGGAAAAGGTTAGTTCTCCATAAGTTATAGAATTTAAATCTCAGCCTTTTCTTGTTAGAAATGTAGAGAAAAAAGATATGTGCAGCTATAAAAGGGTCAGCACTGACTAGTCTGATAGCATGCAATGTGGGATGATACCATCATGATCAAACCAGTGAACTAAGATGGTTTCTGTCTTTGATTCCCAGTCTTTGTACTCCTTCTCCACACAAATTCAGAAGATATTTTCCCAGTTGTGCCTTCCAGTATGTAAAATATGGGTCCATTGCTAGGCACCAGTGGCTCACACCTTTCATCCTGGCTCCTCAGAGGGCTGAGATCTGAAGGGTTGAAGTTCCTGCCAATTTAGGCAGGAAATTACATGAGACTCCATTTCCAAAAAACAAAAAACTCCCAATAGTATGAAGCTGCAGTGGAGATATGGCTCATGTGGTAGAATGCCTGAGCAAGGACATTGAGTTCAAATCCTGCTGTCTGCCCCACCCCACCCCACAAAAAATGTGGGAACATTATAGAAATATCATTAGAAGTTCCTAGTGTCTAGCCTTAGTATAATGTCTTTACCATTAGACTAGCATTAAGCCAATGAGCATTTTGAATAAAACTGGAGACTTTTCTTTCCTTGCTCATAATTTTACATAGAAAGGAAAGAAGCAAATGCAAACAAACCTTAGGGGAAAGGTCAGTGTTCCCTGGGATGTCAGCAGTGCCATTGACTAACGTCTTTTGGCTTTTTGCGTGCTTCCTGCCACGTTGTGCACATCCAAGTCCATGGCTGCTTCGGGAATTTCTTCAAGCATGGCTGAATGCATGTTGGGTTTTTGCATGGGAGACTGTTGTTTAGTCTCATGGTGACATTTGGATGTAAAATCTTTGGAGAAAGTTCAAAAGCTTCTCTGCTGACCTATTCTTTCCATTTCAGAAAATACATGTTACTAGGCCACTGAACTGTGAAATAAATGCCTGTCCTCCTCTATCTGTTTGATATGTTATATGTGGTCTTCCTGTTTAAAATTGCACATCTTTCAATCAGTAGCTGCCATTTAAGTACAATGCATGAAGTTAGCCTAAAAATCATGCGATCCCTGGTATCAGCTGAGCTCGTCTTGCTTTAAAAAGGCTAATCATTATCCTTGTGGAGATCTGATTTCTGGGGACCCAAATCCTTGATCAGCATGTGGTGCTACTGAGTCCCCTGCTTTCCTGTACATTAATCACACACCAGTGTTCAATGGCCTTTCCTAATGGAAAGTTTGCTAATCAATTTAGACTTTTGGTTTTTAAAGAAAATAGTCGTCTAGCATCTTACAGACGAATGTTTTCTGCCCATGTTGCCAGGAAGAAGATTTAAACTGCGTGAGAGAGAGGTGGTCAGATGCACTCATTAAACGGAGAGAATACTTAGATGAACAGATTAAAAAAGTCAACAACAAAAAAGGTATGTGAAATGTAAGCTAATAATTTTCTTTTAAGATATATGAGGTTAAATGCTCTGGGAATAGTCTTTTCCTTTCTATTCACTGGTAGTAGATTCCTTTCTTTCCTTCGTTAGACAGTACCATCTTAGTTGAACTTGAAACCATTAAAGACATTACTGAACCAAATTATACCTTTCTATTAAGAAGTCTCTGAATGGTATAACTTTTCATATAACTATGAGTGTGTCAAAAAGCTGTGACATTAAATGTCCAGCTCAGTTGTGTTTCAGTGATCACAAATGTGGTCATTACCAGTGTGCTGGTATGCAGAATGTCAGTATGCATGAACACCATCTAGACTACATGGTGCCTTATTCCTGTTGGGCAGTGTGGCTCTGTAGTTGTACTCTCTGCCCCTAAGGGTACCCATTTGCTTACTATGCACTTGGATCCTGTAGTACAAATATGTCCTTCAAATTTTTGTCTCAGTCCAGTTCAGTTGATATGTACTTGTAATCACAGCAGTTGGAATATAAAGGCTAGATGATCTGGAGTTTGAGACCAGCCTGGGCTACATAGTAAGACCCTGTCCCAAAAGAATCTTATCACTCATCCTGACTTCATTGTCCTTGTGGTTGATTCTATATCAATAAACACATTAGGGCTGTTAATTCATTTCCTGAAGAAGTGTGGTGTTGACTCAAATGCACATTGTGATCATGAAAACTCATTGCTAGTATCCCCAGGGGGTCCCAGAAGTCAATTACAGATATGAAAATTTTAAGAATGTATCAAATAAAATCCCTTTCCTAATGAGCATGAAGGGAGCATAAAAAGTTTTTTGGAATAAAACAAACATATGTTTTAAAATTCTCTGTCTTTGTGACATGGTATATTATGATGTCCAGTCCATTATTTTACTTAATTATAACACCATGTGACAGAGCAGAAATGACTTGAATTCCTGTTTGACAGATTAGGAAACAGACTCATCTGTTGAACAACTTCCCCAAATCTTAGCACCGGTCACATGATCTAAGATTTGTCATTGCTGTTCCCGTGCTCTTTCTACTGTTTCTGGCTTATACTGCCTGAAGCTGCTGTCATAGGCTTTGCAGGCGTGGATGTTCATGCTTGCCTTTGAAGCCTCCATCCATTTTTGGGGACATAGTGGATGTCTAAGCCATTTTGGTTATCACAGGGTGAAGATCTACTTATTTTTTAACTTTAGGGATTGTGCTTCCTGTCTCATTCTCATTCAGCTCTTCATTTTCTTCTGCAGAGAAAACAGAGGACGATGTGGAACGGGAAGCTCGGCTTGTGGAGCAGTGGGTGGGACTGACGGAGGAAAGGAATGCTGTGTTGGTACCAGCCCCAGGCAGTGGGATCCCTGGGGCTCCTGCTGACTGGTAAGGCTGCCCTCTCCTGCATGCCTGGCAGCGTGGGATCTGCTGCCTGCCTGATAGAGCCATGCAGGTGGCTTTCCATGACTGGCCCAGGAAATGCCATCTCTAGTACTCCTTTGTCATTATATGTTCGAATCACTGCCAACTTCCTTCAGAGGAAGGAATCAAATACCATACGGCTCTGTTGTTCTGAATAGCAACTTGAACATTTTCTGATCTGTAGAAATTCTCTCATTTTGGCTCGAGAAGGTTTCTAGGGTATACTTGAAGAGAGCAAAAGAGATGTTATTCGCTCTAGTACCTGCTTAGTTTGGCAACTGACTTAAACATTTTAGCACTACATGATCAGTTGATTAGTCAGTCCTAGACATGTTAATGAGAAATAGCCTGGTTTGATAGTAGCATCTGGAGTAAAGTAGATCTGGATTTAATTTCTTGCTTCAGCTCTTAATGTATTTCCTTTAACTGCCCCTTTGGCTTTATCTTTTGATAGTGTTATAGGATTTAGGGATAATGCATGGGAGGTATCTTGTGTATCATAGCCTTGTACATGGAAAGAAATACCCTTTCTTTCATGTTGATTCAACTGCAGTTGCTGCAGCCTTTCTCATTCTTACTGCAGAAAACGCCCTGAGCGTGTTTGCTAGTTTTATTTACGTTGTGTTTCTTTGTTTTTCTGTGGTGCTAGTGATGGAATCTGGAACCTTGCACGTGCTAGGCAAGCACTTTATTGCTGAGCTACATCTCCAGCTTTTGTCCTAAACATTTAAGAGAAAAATTCAAGATTCCCTTTGAACACAGAGTGTGTGTGGCCACATAGACGTCTTTGGATAGACATAGAAACAGTGTATTTTTGTCTCTATTGGTAAATGGAATGTAATTGATTTTAATAGTCTCTTTTAGAGAGTAGAGAATCTAAATTTGTAAACACATAATTTGTAAGCCGCTGTTCATCCTTGACATTTGTCCTGGTGTGCTGAATCCTGCAAGCCACCCACTGCCACTTCCTATCCACAGGCAGCTCATTCCTAGCCTTGTGCTGTTCCTCACAGCTCGCTCTAGATATCCTCACCTGATTCTCACACGATGTTTTTTCAACTTCAGATCATCTGCAGGGTTTGGATAATGTAGTCCTGGATCCCACCTTGTTATTCTGATTCAGAAAGGGAAAGAAGGCCTAAAACTCTTCATCTTAAGAGATGAAAGCAGGGCTGGGAAGGTGGCTCAGTGGTAGAGCACTTGCCTTGCATGCATGAGACCCTGGGTTCAATTCCTCAGCACCATATAAGCAGAAAAAGCCACACGTGGCACTGTAGCTCAAGTGGTAGAGTGCTAGCCTTGAGCTGAAGAGCTGAGGGACAGCACCCACGCCCAGAGTTCAGGCCCATGACCGACGAGAGGGGGGGGGGTCGGGGAGAGTGATTTGTGCTGTAGCTGGGCCAGTTTAGACAGTACACTGCTTAGTCCCACCCCACACAATTTATATTCTCATGTCATCCAAGCTTATTGCATAATGTCACTTCTGTTTACTTCCTCTAGGCTCTGAGCTATTCTACTCTCTCTAACACCACCACAACCCTTGTTTCATCACTAAAATTGCTATTAATAGTAGTATAGCTATTATTACACTACTGAGGACTGAACCAAAGGCCTTGCTCACGCCAGGACAGTACTCTGTCACTTAAGCCACACTCACAACCCTTTTATTTCTATTTTGTTTTTGAAACGGGGACTGTCAGAACCTTTGGCTAGCTGCCTTGAAACTGGCCATCCTCCTCCCTCTACATCCCCAGTAGCTGGGATTACAGCTGGGATTATACCACCACGCCTGGCTTCACAAAAATTATTTTGAGCAAGGCTTTAATCTTTGCTTCAAGTAATTATGGGTAATTCATATTGACTGGCGGGTTTTTAATGGGTATATGTGACATAGTTTCCACGATTTGTGTTAACAGAGAAGTAAAATGCGAGCATACTTCATGAAAAGGGCCTGTATCTCCCCAGTGGTTTTCTGCTTCCATGGTTGTGTGGTGTTTTATTATCCCAGTAAGATATAAAATATTTCTAAATTTTGTCATTCAATTTAGGATCCCACCTCCTGGCATGGAAACTCACATACCAGTTCTCTTCCTTGATTTGAATGGTGAGTAGGTACTTAACATTCCAGGGATTGTTACACTTAATTAAGATTTATCATCCATTTGCTCACATTTTTATTGATAAATCACTTGTAATTACTCTTATGCCACATAGAGATGACATTTTTGTTTCAGCCAAAAATATGTAAGCATGACATGTAGAATCACAGAAGAAGGGATGCGGTTGTTTAATCAAAGTCTGAGAGCACCTAGGGAGATTGAGAGAAGTATATAGTTGTTTTGGAATATTAATAGGCATAGTTATTGCTTGGAAAAGTAATCACCTTCAGATATTCTGACTCAGCCTTGGCAATGGCCTAGGAATCTGCATTCTGACTAATGTCTTTTGCTACTCAAACCCAATAATTTTGATGCTAGAAAATCACAGTGTAACCTTGCCTTATGTATTCTTGGACTAGGGGGCGTGGCTCAAGTTGTACAGCATTTGCTGAGCATATGCTGATGCTTAGGTTCAATCCCTAGCACCATAAGAAAAAGAAAAGGAAAAAAAAGACCAGCAAAATTCTAATTGTTTTAAGAGCACAAATGGAAGCCAGGCAACTGTAATCCTTGCTACTCAGGAGGCGAAAATCTGAGGATAGACGTACAAAGCCAGCCAAGGCAGAAAAGTCCTTAAGACTCCATCTCCAGTTGACCAGCAAAATGCAGACAAGAGTTGTGCTGCTCAGGTGATAGAGTGCCAGCCATAAACAAGCAAGCCAAGGAGAGCACAGAGCCCTGAGTTCAAGCTCTAGCAGTGGCACACACCAAAAATAGTAGTAACTGAAAAAAAATAAAAAACGAAAGCTTCCCTGACTCGTGGAGTACCTATTTCAACTGCAAGGTAAGTAATGAGGGGGGAAAAGTTAGGAATGTGTTACATGTAAACTTCATCTGTTAAAAAACATATTTTTGGTTGACATGCAGTTTAGCCTATCCCAGCCCCTGAGTTTGACCCCAGCACCTTTTAATTATAGGAGAAGGGGGGTGTGTATGTGTATCTTTTTAAATGTTGTTACTCCAAAACTAACTTTATCCCCTACTCTTTTCTTTTGTGCCTTGACCTTGATTAGCGGATGACCTCAGTGCCAATGAACAGCTTGTTGGTCCCCATGCATCAGGCGTGAACTCCATCTTGCCCAAGGAACATGGCAGCCAGTTTTTCTACCTGCCTATCATAAAGCATAGTGATGACGAGGTAATTCCTCCCCAGGACTCTCCTACAGGGCTTCAGATTAACACATAGGTTCCGTGGGCCTGCCCTCCTGTGAAACCACTATAGTTTGCTTTGGGAAAGAAGGTTAGAGTCCTAAAAAGAAAATTAAAAAAAAAATAAAGAAAACTTTATGTGCTGTCACTCAAACTAGATGAGGAAGACTGGCTCTTGGGTGACATTGAGTTAATTTATAAACAGCTGAGTCATCTCTTTCCATCTCCCCATCCTTCTCCCACTCCCAGGTTTCAGCCACAGCCTCCTGGGACTCTTCGGTGCACGACTCTGTTCACTTGAATAGAGTCACACCCCAGAACGAGAGGATTTATCTTATCGTGAAGACCACAGTCCAACTCAGTCACCCGGCCGCCATGGAGTTAGTATTACGAAAGCGGATTGCAGCCAATATTTACAACAAACAGGTAGTAATGGGGACCAGCTCTGCCATTATGTCTTTCAGACTACAGATTTCTTCTTGTCTCTCATATTCATGTTCTGTGGCACTAATTTATCAGAGAATGTGCAGAATGGAGCCTTGCTGGCTGAGTTGGGAGTCTTTTCTCATTATCTGAGATAATAGGGCAAGAGAGGCAAATGTCATCCCCAAAAGACATGTCCACTTTGATATGAAACCCATAATTCTAGGTGACACTGGCTGTGACATTTCCTTGTTTGAAAAGTGGAAACACGGAAAGTGGAGAGGTTAAGTACCAGGTACAATCAGGTTAGTGACAGACACAGACAGAACCAAACACAGACTCCAAAGAAATCCCTATCCTTGCCAGATTGCATCTGAGAGGTACTGTCAGCACCCCCCTCCCCCGCCCCCAGTGTTGTTCACGCTGGTCTCCAGAAGGACTGGTGAAACCCGGAAAGGCAAAGCCAGTCTGCAGAGGGGAGAAAGCACCCCTAGAAACCTGAATGTCCCACATGTTCTGTAAACTAGTCCCCACACAAGACTTGGCAATTATCATCCATCTGGAAAGGAGACAGAGAGTCTCAAGTTCAATTTGTTTGCCTGTTTCACCGAATCTTATATATGACTCTCTATGAAGAACTGTGGTCATTTATAAAATGCTGTTACAGTTTGTAAACTTAGATTTGTCACGTAACTTAACCCAGCTTTCCTTTTCTGCCAGAGTTTTACCCAGAGTTTGAAGAGGAGGATATCATTGAAGAACATATTCTATTCCTGCGGTGTAACTTATGAAATAGTTTCCAATATACCAAAGGCAACCGAGGAGATTGAGGACCGGGAAACGCTGGCTCTCCTGGCAGCACGGAGTGAAAACGAGGGCACGTTAGATGGAGAGACGTACATTGAGAAATACACACGGGGCGTGCTGCATGTGGAGAACATTCTGAGCCTTGAACGGCTCCGACAGGCAAGTGACTGACTCGAGGGCCTGAAGGTTGTAATCACCAGCCTTCCCCCGACATTGGACAAAGATGGATTTGTTCACCAGTCATCTCTCTTAAGTCATGCAGAAAAGGAGAACTTGAAAAGTGATTTGTTGAAAAACATCATTCCAAAAATAAAAACAATAAAGAACACTTACTGAGTACTTCCTTTTTGAAAGGGGCTGTGCCTCAGTAATTTAGATTCATTGTTTCATTCAATGATCAACAGGAATGTACTGTTGCAATGAGAAAATTCAGGCTAAGGGCAGTTAGCCAACTTGCTCAGGTTTCACAATTGGGGCAGGTGAAAACCCACATAGATTTACCATGTATATTCCCTAGCCCTCTAATGTTTGCACTCAGGTTAACTTTAGAGATAATCCATTAAGGTGGAAATTATAACACACAGTATCAGGCCTATAAGACTAGTTATGCCCTTCAGTCACTCCCCTGTGGAGCAGGAGTTGCCATGACAGATAGTGAGTATTGACTCATAGGAGTGCATCAGTCACCAAAATCTTCTCCTAATGGAAATCCTACCAGAATAGATACACAAGTAAAACCCACATAACGTTCATTTCCTCTGCCTATTTGGTGAGAAAATAATTCCCAACATAGATCTATCTTTTGCTAAGAAGCTTTCTTGGCTTGTTTTGGAAGTATGTTTTTGATTGGGGGGGGGGTGTGGAGGAGCTGTTGGCTCATGCCTGTAATCCTAGCTACTCAGGGGGCTGAGATCTGAGGATTGTCATTCAAAGCCAGCCTGGGCAGGAAAGTCCATGAAACTGTTACCTCCAATTAACTACGTAAAACACAAGAGTGAGAAGAGCTGTGGCTCAGGTGACATAGCATTAGTTTAAGTTAAAAAAAAGCTCAGGGATAGTGTACAGGCACTGAGTTCAACCCCGAGGACTGGCACACATACAGAAAAATCAGTCACATTAAGATTTGTGTCTTATAAATAGGTATTTTTGTAGGTATATGCATTATTGACGTGATTTATAAATATTCTACAAATAAACATCTTCCTCTTGAAGTCAGATAAGAAAATAATAAGTATTATGTTGAAATTATTATGTTTACAGGCTGTCACAGTCAAAGAAGCACTTTCCACCAAGGCTCGGCACATTCGGAGGAGCCTCAGCACACCAAATGTTCACAATGTAAGTACAGCACCCTGCACAGCAAATGTGCAAGTACACCTGCTTTTACATGTGCTGTCTCAGACTGTGGGACGGGAGACCTTAGAGGGATGTGATGCTTATATGGACTCAGTGGGAATAATACACATGGAGCTAAGTAGAGTTGGCAACCCAGTGTCCAGCCTACTTTTCTGTATCCCTGAAGATGTAACCATTTTATTGTGGTTATGACCTTTTTTAGAAAAGAGAGTGGGAAAGATTTATATTTTAGCTACTCATACAAGAATAAGGTTAAAAGATTTTAAAGCTAGACAGGTAACCAACCTCTTATGTAAACAAAACTTAAACTTTACCTCTATAGTTATAAACTTTTATTTCATAAACAAAATGACCACATTCTGAAGCCAATAAATTAAAGCTAGGAAGTAATAAAATTGAATCAAAATAGGAATTAAAAGGGAGCATACAACCTAATATATGTTATATTCATATCTGAAAGAAAGATTGTTTTAAGCTAAAAAAATACTAGAATATTTCGAGGAAAGAATGAAGTAAATATTACAACAGAAACACACTAAATCCAAATAATATTTGAACATAGCTGAAGTAAAAGAACCAACAATGCTAAAAAGCAGATTGTCTGAAAAGACTAGTGACTGACTTTTAGTTTAGATTGATTGGGGAGTAAAAGATAATACACAAAAAAAGAGCAGATAAGAATATTATTGGGAATATAAGGAAGTATTGCTATAGAAAGAATAGACACTGAGACAGGTGAGTGAACCATGAATGCCATGCCATTACATGTAAAAGTTTAAACAAGATGGAAATTTCCTGCAAAAATTCCATCAGAAAGAAACAGGAACCCAATTACTGCACACATACAAAAAGGCCTTATATAATGACTTTGTTCATTGATGGAAATGTATTAAATCAAAAACTTAACAGATTTTGGAGGATTTTATGAGTTTACCCTAAAATTTCTATGGAAAAGCAGAGTTGAAAGCATACATGTTTTATCTACAGCCCATATATTCTATGCCCTAGATGTGTGTAGTCTACAAGTTTCTTTTGGTGAGTTTTTTTGTTTTGCTTTGTTTTGTGTTTTGTTTTCACTCAAGGCTTGCTAGCACTCTTACTACTTTGAGCCACAGCTTCACTTCTGGTTTTCTGAGGTTAACTGGAGATAAGAGTCTCATGGACTTTCCTGCCCAGGCTGGCTTTGAACCTTGGTCCTCAGATCTCAGCCTCAGTGCTATCATTACAGGCAGCCACTAGCACTGGCTAGAGATTCTTATTGATACACAAATTATATATAGATCTAAAAGATATAGGCTTAGCTCCGAGGATCATTGTTTGAAACGAGCCCAAGCAAGAAAGTTTGTGAGACTCTTATCTTCAGTTAACAAAAAGCCAGAAGTGGAACTGTGACTCAAGTAGTAGAGTACTAGCACTGAGCAAAAAAGCTCAAGGACAACACCCCCGCCAAGGCCCAGGACCAGCAACCCCCTTCCCCCAATTAAAAAAAATAAATAAAACTAAAGGATACTACTTTGAAGAATGCATCCAGAGTGGTGCTTAGAGACAGGGAAAAACAATTATTTCATCATATTTTTGTCTTTTTTTGTTTGTTTTGGTCAGTCGTGGGGCTTGAACTCTGGGCCTGAACGCTGTCTCTCAGCTCTTCAAGGCTAGCGCTCTACCACTTGGGCTATGGTGCCACTTCTGGTTTTCTGGTGGTTTATTGGAGATAAGAATTTCATGCACTAGGGGCTGGGAAAGTGGCTCAGTTGTAGAGCGCTTGCCTTGCATGCATGAGGCCCTGGGTTCGATTCCTCAGCACCACATAAGCAAAAAGAAAAAAGCCGGAAGTGGCGG